GGATAGTGTGGGTGCCCTTAGCAGGGCCAATAAGTTACCAGATGACGAGAAGTTAGTCAGTAACCAAATAAATTTGAAGGCTGATTTGGACGTCTTCACTTTAGCAGGAAGTCTATTCTAAATCTGAGGGCATCCTAAAGCGAAGAAATTTGCATGCAAGCGGAATTTAAACGGTTTCAATATGACACTGTGGGCGTGGTTGAACAGATCGTAACAGCTGTTTTGTTTAAAATAAAACACCAGTGTCTGTAAAAGTGAATTTGTGCAGCACACGGAGGAAGAGTGCCAGGTTAACTTTGAGTCGTCTCATCCAAAGTGGTTCCATACTTAGGGTCCTGCATCTGGAACTGCTGTCCTGTATGCAGTTGTGTACTGGTAACCCAGCTGTAAAACATATTTGGGCACCCTCTGTTTTAGCCTGTCTTTATTGCAGGCACCACTCAACATAGATGAACAATATTCTAATGGTGGACGTACGCGAGTTTCATGGAGCAGTAGCTTGACCTCTTTGAGGACTGTGTAACTCAATGAGATCCTAGACTTACGAATCTGTGACGCAGCCCGTTCAGAAGTTATGAGGTGGCCTGAATACCTTGGCCCAAGGTTACAGAAACTTTTAAGAAAAGGTAGTTTCATAGACTGAAGATGCAGCTGGATGTCCGGCAGTGGAGCACCAAAGCATATCTGGCCGCATTTAGTTGTTTCAAATTGAAGTTCCATGCAGTAGGCCGTGTGGATATTATATTGGTCGATGTGGTGTAACGTTCACAGCGGCCGGACGCGGTGGATAGAAGCGATTCACATTATTGAGGCCATAATTTCGCTGCCGCTCGCCTTCTGTTATTCACCGGGAAATATATACAGTGACTAAACATAGATCCTGGTACTTTCGGCAGTTCACTTAATTGTCTATCTTATCGGTTTATGCACGCCTATTTCACTGTGCAGCCCCATTTTATTAACATGAAACGCGTCTTACATTCAATGAATAGGTGAATTTTGAAGCTATCCGCCCCTAAGAAACATGAAGTCAACATAGAGATCTATTCATATCTATAAAAACGACGTGCTCCCGTACGTTTCTGTTGCAATTAAATGAGAATCGTTGAGGAATTGGACCAGCATGACTCCTTTGAGAAGGAAATTTTTGGAACTACTTTCTCTGTTGCTCTGCATTTTACTTTCACATATCACTAAAAATAATTAAAGTTTCTGTAAGAAAACTTTACACCTATGAATGAACACAAAAATTGGGCGTGTAATTTGACGCGCATCGTTCGCATGTGATGTAAAGTCTTCTTTCTTTCAGCTGGGGGATCGCCACTACCTGGAACAGAGAAGAGACGGTACACAACCCTAACAGGGGTTTGCACCGCTATTGGTAGGAATAATACACACCTGTAAATTAGGGAATAAAAATTATTGCTTTTAGTGTGGCAAATGGAATCCAGTAAAAATCGGTAAGGATGTGCGTGCCCGGTTATTACTAGAAGAAGAAATGTGCTACATATGAATGCATATACATTTATGCACACGGAGGTAAGATGCAAATCTCTTATGTGCCATAAATAACGATGTGACATACATTTTCTTAAGAAGCTTCATTTTTCACACACCCAGCTTGTTTGTACTTTCAGAGTCCCTGTAAATAGGGCTTAACGGTGCCTGGATAAACATTCAATCTGATTGCATAAACTTCTGTGCCTGCATCTTCATTTGTGTGTAATGGTTACTACTTATAGCATGACAATATTTCCCCGAAAAGTTTCACTATCCGCCTCCTTTCGTCCATTAAACTCTTGTACTGTGTAGGATAACATCACAGCTGAAATCTCGGTATAGCATACATGGGAAGTGGTGGGTTCGCCTGGATTTTTCTCAACGTTCCCAAACAAAAAAGTTAGGTTACGAAACCACTAATGCTAAGAAATCATAGATATAATGTATCGAAAATGCGAAGACATTTCGGCCCGCATCAACCGGCCACTAAATCGGCGCTACTCCGTTCCTTCCTGGATTCCATCACGGGTGTGGGATGGCCTTCACTGAAGTGAAGCACAACTATAACTATTCTTCATCAGGTGTTTGCATTCTCAGGATGTGGATCTCCCGAGCTATCGAATTACTTTTTTCTTTACCAGAACTGTTGGTCATATCATTTTTGCCTTTCTCTCACTATTTCAACAAGCGCGGGTTGAATGCTGCAAGTAACGATTTTAAAAAGTTTATTTCCACCATTACGTTTTTCGAATGATACTAAGAGTCTGCCACATGTTGTCTAACAGAGTAAGGGGTCCCGGGGAATTACATAAGACGGCTTAATAACATATGCGATGTCTTGGAGGCTTTACCAATCGATCGTGGACCAAATATCCACTAAAACGATGGAAATCAACACCAGGGCTGAATACCATTCAACGACAAGATAATGCAAGTGACAACATTAAAACTATACCCGCCACGAGAGAAAGGAGCATGGCGACTTAGTTGCTAAGTGAATGACGCTCAGCCGTTTTAACCGATCGGTCTTAAGTTACAGTCCTGGTGTGAACAACACCGCTCACTACGAGGTAGGTACGTCCAACCGGCTAGTCCCCAAGAAGACGAAACTTTCGTCTCGGATTCCAGTCCTAGTCACTACCCGTCACTGAAAGTCTCCCGACTTCGGGACCTTATTGACCACTAGGGGCGACAGTGGAGACTTTGAAGATCCTGGTCGGACCATCTTTTCGAGGGTTGGTCCTGATTCGGCAATGTGGTAAACGATTACTATATTGGGTGTCGGAAGCGCTTTGTGTCAACTAAGCTCCACAAATTGCCATTTTGTTGTGCTTCAGAATTTTGATTACTATTTGAAGAACCTCGTCGAATGATCAAGACTGGAAACCAGTGAGGGATATCGCCTAGAGGGCTTTCCTTGTTAGCTTTCTAGCTGTTATGGGAATAACAAAGAAGCTGATCTTATGGCCGAAACGAGGCGCTGAACGCCTCGTGGAATTCAAGTGAAAGACACAGCATGAATAGGGAATTTCCAGAAAAGAGTGCATATAGGGCTCTCAGAAATGCGTGCAACCTCAGTGTGAGAGGGAACAGGAGGCCATATCAAAAAACCCCGCCCGGAAGCTTGGGATAGCCAGAGGAAACCCGGTTCTATTTCTTGGCGGGTGAGAAGCTCACCAGCCTAGCAGGTCATTCTCATTCGCAAAATATCGAGGTTGAATATCCACGGTCAGGTTCTCTCCTGGCTACAAGACCATTTAGACGCAGAGAATTCCATAGAAAAGTTAAGAACGTTTATTCGACCTGGAGGACATCATCTGGTGTACCACAAGAATGATCCTGGGTCCGCCGCTGTTCCTTCCTTTTCAAGCGACCCTCCACTGAGTCCTTTCTGCTCGGTTCTAAAAGAGTGCGGTGAGAATTCGACAAAGGCCCTATGGGGGAGGACTGAAAGGCTTAAAGTTTAACTTTTTTAGTTACCGTATATTGCGTGGTGACGTGATGACGAACTAGAAGATACCGAGTGATTCAAGTCATCAGAACGGCGGCATCCCGCCGAACAGCCACTGTAGCAGTACTGACGACAACCCAAGAAGGATCTTAGTCAAAGGGCTAAAACTTGTGCGAATTCGCATCTCTTCTTGCCGCATGTTTGCGGCCACTGAAAAGCATTGCCTACTGGGGCCGCTACTCCCCCGACTCTCGGCAGTTACAAGAAGAGGTTGAACTGATGAGCAACGACGTACGGCTTGCACTCATTCAGCTAGAATACGGACCATATTTCTAAACCCCGTCAAATTTGTGCGGCACAGCTCACCTGAACTCATACCAAGTCTTTTGTACCGCCACTTTCATCTCTAACTTGGCTCAGCCTCATATTTGCCTGTTGAACGTTTCTTCCATTTATTTGGCCCCACTATCAACCTCACTGTTTCCAATCCCATAACCCGTCCTATCGTCTTACCCGCTTCCCCCGTTTCCTCTGACTCTGATCTCAACCCATTTATTACGGTTTCTCTTATCTCTGTTACCTCCCGTGCAACTTCCCAGGTGCTTGCTCCTCTCCATCAGCCTCATCTGTCTTGATTTACTCACATCTTCTCCATCTCCTTTTTAAAACAAATCTGAGCAGCTAAACAGCTGCACTTGAGGAGCTCATCTGGACCACAGTCCTCGGAAAAGTCTCAGGATCCCTACAAGTTTAGCCGAACCCGACCACCCTTCGGGCTAACCAAAGCCGCTGCAGACGAGTTAGTAGACATACCAGATCGGAATCCCCCAAATACCTGGAACCACGTCACAAGGCCAAGAACCGAGCACGAAGAAATCAGTTGGTGTACAATAGCTCGTAAAAAGATGTTTGACTTTTGACCTAGTATGGTCGGCTAATTCACTAGTGACTTCGCAGATAGACTGGTTCGAGCCGTCCGTAAATACTGTCCAGACAAGAGAAACAGAAACGCCTATCGAGCAATTCAAGACCGTGGTGTTGCACTGCGTTTGCAGTGCATCGGTCAGGTGCACGCATCACTGTGAACCAGTTGACAAACAAGCAAAAATGGAGTATTATTTGCCTATTTTAGTTTTTGCTTCATACTTTGATATGAAAACCTCCATCAAGAAATATAAGCAAAGTGTGCATCAGGGTTCGCAAAAATAATTATTATTTAGAAGTAGTATTGATCAGGGACTGACATTAGTTGGGGAACCATTATTGTTATTTGTTATTACCAACTCAGTTACTTGTTGTTGTTCAACCTTGACAACTTTGCGTGCTTTGAATGCTTTCGGAAATGGCAATTTTGTTTTTAATCTTTTGAAGAAAGAAGATGCACGCTGTTGAGTCAGCTGTTGCTATCCCCAGATACTCACGAAATTTTTCACAGGAACCTGAACCTTATTACAATCCCGGTTGCCGAAGAAATAAATATCCTTCAATTCCCAAATGTCGTGACTCATACTACACAGATAGAGTTAGTTATATTTCCTGCTCACCTCGGCAGAGAAACAACAGAGATCTAATGCGCTCAAATTTAACGGGTGCTGGTCGGCGTAATACTCATATATACGAAGACCCAAATTTGTTGGTGACCCCCAGAAGTTCACTTAACTCAGATGTATCTGTCGCATATAACTATCCACGTAGAGGGAATTCTTTCAGTACTTCGCAGAATTTAGGAGGATACTCGTCTTCAGGAAGGCTTAGAATACTCAATTCAATGTCCAAGAATTATTTGAGTCCTTCTATCCTAGATCTCAGCAATGGAAGTTGTAGCAGATCACTTCGTGATTTATATAAGTCACCTGAAAGACAAATTGTGACAAGTCGATATCCTCACTACACCGAAAAATCTCTGAAGGCGTGTTTGAATCACGACTTCAAAGCATTTTCTAATTCCAGTAACACTGAAAGAGAACAATATAGTCAACGACGACATGCCTTTGGAAATGGACAAATACGTGACTGCAGGATAAAGTATAAAGCCACATCACCTGATGCCTCAGAAGTTAGCCACCACGCGGTTGCTTTGGATGGTGTCAACGGAGGAAGTTTAAAGGTGGAAAAGAGAAGGGATTGCCATTTCAATGGTTTCAATTCACTGGATCATGAACCTTCAAGCCTAATTCATGTTAAGGCTCATCGAATGAGGAAAGCAGCCGACGCAGAATCAAACGAAAAGTCTCACGACTCTGTAAACAAGTGGTTATCAAATGTTTTTCAGCCTAGAAACGATAGTTCACATAATGGCTCCTGTTGTATGTCAGGAAGTCTTGCTGTCACTTTGTATGGATCCAAACTCACTGAATATGAACGCAAAGAAATTCAAGACTATCCTGAAGTATATTTTCTCGGCCTTGGCGCAACCAAGAGATATCCTCACGGAGCGTCCATCAATGATTCCGCATACAAAAGAGGTAGCATGATTCCGTCAAATAACGTGACTGGTTTTGATGATACACAAAGCAGTTACATTCTTGTTCCCAATGATCATCTGGCATACCGATATGAGGTCTTAAAGCCTCTAGGCAAGGGAAGCTTTGGTCACGTAGTTCACGCTATCGATCACTGTACTAAACAACAAGTTGCTGTAAAAATTGTTAAAAGTGAACCTCGATTTACAAGACAAGCTGTTGAAGAAATTCGAATTCTTAAGGCTCTAAATGCCCAACAAAGTGATGGGGAATATAATGTCGTTCAGTGCTTGATCATTTCATTTTTAGAGGTCATGTATGCATGGTTTTCGAATTACTTTACATAAATTTGTATGAACTCATCTACCGTAATAATTTCAAAGGCTTTTCTCAGTCCCTGGTAAGAAAGCTGACCTATGGGATTCTTTGCTGCTTGGAATTGCTATATCGGTAAGTATTGTTTACGCAAACTGTTCGGTGATAGGTTTTCAATTAATTTAAACTTATTTCTTTGAGTTAAGATATAAGTATTTAAACTACTTCAGTCATACTAAGCACCATAGTGTGACCCATAAAAATGATTTATTATATACAGTAGGTTATATTTTTATAGGAACGCACTGATATGAACCTTTTTGTCGTCATAGATGTTTGTTTAGAAGCCAGGCTCCTGCCTTGTGGATAAGTGCCTGTTTCAAAGTTCGGTGTTGCAACCAAAACGTTCTTACTCCAATGTTTTCATTGCATAAACTTGTGTTTGGGTCATTAAACTCAGTCATGAACCACTTTTTTTACAATGTCCCAATAATTAAAGGGTAAAAAGTAGTCCCTACAGTTTAGGTGTGATTCTTTATTAGATTGTCTATCCGGTATGGTGTATGGTAATACAGTATTTGCTGAATGGTGTTTCGAAAATAATTTATTGCTTATGTTCATATAGAGGCAATCAAAAACTTTCAAACTTAATTTTTGTGGTCTAACAACTCTTTTTTTAATTTTTCTGGAAAATCCTGTTACCACTTGAAATAAGATAAAGGAATAGCCAGTTTATGCTATCATGAAACTTGAAATCAATTATTACTGAGTATAATTTTTTCCAGTGTTTAGGCTTCAAACTATCCAATAGCGATTGGTAGCGTTCACTTCAGTTACTGTATGCACACAACTGAAGAGATTACACAACTAACCGTTAGTTGATTATGTGTCGTCACTAGAATGTATTAGCCTTGTATAATAGAATGGTTAAGTTTCGTTATAGGCTGCTATCAGATGTAAGGAAATCAAACTAAGGAATTAAAATTGTAAGAAGAAGAACCAGTAAAGAATAGGTTTCTTAAGTGTCTTTTTGAATTTTCTCCTTAATATAATTTCCCAAGCTAGAAAAATAGATAAGTTAGTTTAGAGGTAATATTACACCAGAGTACAGTAAAATCGGATCCAGACTTCCTGATCTCACAACTTTATTTCGGTTTTTACTCTGTTACATATCCACAACACATATTCTTAACGCTACTATTAACGTTACTTTATTTTATGCATATTTTTACTAACTCTTTTCTTCATACCAAATGCCCTTAACAATACATTTCAAAATGGCTATTTTGCAACATAAATGTTTCCAGACTTTTGATGTTTAATTCTGTAAAATTTAATAAGCCTGGCTGCGAAAAGTTATGCAAGAACAGAATCAAAAATCTCGCTACTCTCGTTCTGATGGAAATTATAACCTATGTTCATTCGTATGCATATAACGCTGAATATACAACTTGCCTATAAAAATGAAATTTAACCTAAAGAATAGATTTAATAGTACCATTCATGCGGTAAATATAATTTTTGTTTCTACACAGTAATTTTATTTAATCATCAAGTTTCATATAATAAAAATGACCAAATGAGAATATAAAGCCTATGTCTAGCTAATATCATCTGTTTTAGGTTGTACTTTAGTATAAGCATCAACTGTTAGGATAGCATTAATTATGCTTACAATACGCACATTTAGCATAATTCACTTTATTCATACGGCTTATTTGAAAAATGGTTCACGTTTACAATGGGATTACTTTCCAGGCAGTTTAGTTTTTCAAAGAAGAAACAATCTGATTACAAGGAGCAGATGATTTGTTTACCCATCAACAGGACTAGAGGTGACATGTTGCAATTCACTAGGTGATATATGAAACTAATAATGAATCCAACGGAAGTTAACTAGCCTCTGACTGGATAAAGATGATCCAAACACTAGAAGGTCATTCAGTTCACCTTCAACTGATTTCCGTCAGGCATAAGCGAGTTACTAAAGGGAGATTGAAAGTGACGTTTTTAATATCGTAAGTCGTGCAAACAATTACTCTGAGTCCTAGAGATAGTTTTCGAAAAGAAGCATACTCCTTAATTTGATCTTATAGGGAAAACATTTCCATCAAAGTATAGTTTAATTTAGTTGGGGGGTTTGCGGGAATTCATCATGGACCGACATCAGTTGGAAAATTATTGGAAACCTGGGAACACTGGACTGCTGTTTCATCCTAGTACGGGACTCCTCAGCAGTGCGTACACTCTACTCTGCAAGGTATATTCTTTCCTAGAAGGTCTACATTTATTAAGTACTCAGAAAAGGTACATACAAACAGCAGAAACTTTCTTATGTTGAAAGGTAACATCATACAAAAGGAGTCAAAATTAGTCATCTGCTTTTTTAGATAAAAATAATATTAATCACATAGAATACTGGAAAACTAGGAATGAGACTTGGAACCACAATGATTCAGTTGCAAATAATCAATATTTTTTATTGTCAGCAAACATCACCACCCAACGTTGTGTAAAGTACATATCTAAGAGTTGTAGATGCTTTGAATATCAAACACAGTTATCCAAACAGGTTAATATCTTTTTAGTACGGTTGTAAACTGACACTAATCACCAATAAACGTAGAGTTTTACCCCTTATAAACGTTCTGTACATTCATTACCTATCTAATAAACAAATACCGTAACACACTAATCAGTATCAAATTTTAACCAGTAACAACGTTAGATAACTTGTAAAATAATACTATTCAGATTTGTTTTTTGAGGATAGGAAGCTGTGAGCCTATATCGATCCTTTTCCAGTAGATTTCTGTGGTTGCTCAGTCCTCTTTTGAATGGGTCAATTGATGATACGGACACCACTTCTTCTAGGAGTCTATTCCAGCAGTTGATTATTCGTCGCGAGGACCAGTATTTTGCGGAGACTACATTCATTCTTTGCTTTTGTATTCTCCTGATATACCATTTGAGTTGTCCCGACCTAGTGGGAAGGAAAAGAGAGGACAGATCAGGTCTGCAGTCATTTCTTAGGATCCTGTACAGCACCATTAGGTCTACTCTTATATTTTTATAAGCCAGAATTTTAATTTATAAACTTTTAGGTCTACTCTCTCTCTGCAATAGGATAAAGTGAATAGGTTTAGCTCCTTACTTCAATCTTCATAGGTCAGGCCAGCCATCGCAGGGGTTATACGAGTGCCTGCCCTCTGAAATCATTCCAGAATGTCTGACCTTTCAGACAAGGATTTGCAACCCTGCAGAGTTTTTTTAATTTAGACCTAGCTAAGATAATGAAGGTGTCACCACTTATTTTTGTACGCGTTCTGCACAGTGCCCAAAGTATCCTAAAACTCCTAGCTGCTACTAATCGGCAGTGTGACGTGGTTTGCAAATCATAATTCACTGTGACTCCTAGGTCATTATGGGTCAGTACTGACTGTGGGAGAGTCTTATCAATATCATAGGTGTTGCCGTCTGTGTGACTTATATGCGTGTTCACATACTTATGTGCGTTGATAGGCATAAGCCACTTCTCTGGCCAGGTAAACAAGCTGGCTAGGTCTATCCAAAGTGCTTGTGGATCCTCCTCATCCCTAGTATCTCGCCAGGTATTTACATTATTAGCTTACAGAACCATGGGGGATTTTGTTATATTCGACAGCTCATTTGTGTATAGGAAAAACAACATGGGACCCAGGACTATGCCTTGCAGCACTCTACTCTCTACCGACTTCAACACCAGAGTTACAAGAGTTTTGTTTAGTCCTATTTTCTTACCGGTCAAATAATCTGATAACGACAGCTTCATGTTCATTTTTTAATAACGAAACGACCATAGGTGTGAAACGCTTTTACTGAGACTAGCAGATTGATGGTGAGTCAATAGAAGTAAAATACCTCAAAAGCATAGGAAGTACTAATCCTTTTATTGTGGAAGTTACTACTAAAGACAATTAGTAAACTAAGATAATGAAAGAGACACAGAACTAATTCGAGCCTAAAGAGGCCAAGAAGTCCTACTAACCAATTTCAGGCTACCTCTGGAAGAAAGAATCTATATTTTTGAAATGACCCAGGATATCTGTAACTCAACTCTTTGGTTAGTTGCTAGACAAAACAAGAAATTATGTTCAACCATTTAGTCGCTGGATCTTCAGCCAGCCAGAGTTATTCATATCTTGAGTGCTACACTTATTTGATGGGTTTAGAAATCCTCTGTGACCTTTAAGTTGATTTTATCTGTAAGTTTAACTTTCACTCGGATTCCGGATACATTTTAAGGGGTTGTTTTCTATTAGTACTAACACATTCAACGGTTAAATAAATATTCTTCTTAGAAAGATGTCGTTAAATGATACAGTATTGTTCAGTAGTTAACTATAGTTGAACAGTCCAGGAGGTTAGTCTTTGACCACTGGGCAGCAGACGCCGACATAGTCATGACTGCATCGTGAAACAACTTGTTTGAAACAAACTTCTTATCTACAGTATTACTAAATGGTTTGAAATTCAGAATATGAATACATTGGACACCAATATATGAAGATATGTTAAACTCAACAACGAAATGAAACTTTTTAAATTTCTATTCAGCTGTCTGCAGTGAAGTAAGATCTGAAATTCCTATTTATTAGTATCAGTTTATGTCAATCAGTCCTCCAGACTGAATTTCTATTTATATTTCAAGTTTAACTGATACTTTAATAAACAAAAATCCAGTTAAAATACAATGAAATAATATGCACAAAGAAAAGCATGTAATAAAAGGTGTTATGTCATCAATTAAGCACAAAAACTTCTCAAACTGTCTTTTATGTAATACCACATAAAAAGTCATAAATACAATTTATGCTTCAGTTATGCTAATGAACACTTTTGGATTTTTCGCTACAAATATATTTAACACAAAATATTTTTCGTTTAACTTATACTACAATAAATATCGTTTTCTTCTAAGATTAAATATATTTCACTCTCGGTTTTTCCTCACTTTACATTGGCTATTTTTATTGTATTGAAAATTTACAAATAAGTAATAAGACAATTGGACATTGAACTCGATCATTTTGAAAGTGTGGCTGTGAATCAAATAAAGACTAATTAGCTAAGACTGAAACTTCAAAGTATTCCTA